AATTTCCCCTTAGTTCTACCACCCCGACTGGCAACCCACGACTTATGAAAAAAAATTAGCCATTTGGACTTGATTTCAAGTTGCTGTTGCCCATCTTTGCCTCGCCAAAGCTTTGCTGGGACTGTGAAGTTCAGCTCTCACACATCTTTCTCGGAAGAGGCTCCACCAGGCCAGCATGCGGGAAGTTGGTAATTTTGGTGGTGCTGGTGTGTGGGGTGGAGTAGGGGAGGAGAACGACCATTAATTATAGTTTCCTTGGCGAGTCAGCCAAGCTCAGGAGCAGATGCAGGAGAAGCGGATCAAGCTCTCTGCGCTTTGAAACCAAAATCCCAGGGAGGTTTCTGGCACGGCCAGGGTTAGGTGGAATGTCCTGTCGGGTAAGGTTTAGAAAGTAGATCTTGGCCGCTCTTCAACTCGCGGGCCTCGAAGCAAGGTCCCCGTGTCGCAGACCTGTGGCCCGCACCGGCTCCGAGGGTCTGGGGCCCCAGCACAAGGCGCCCCAGGCTTGGGACAGGCAGCGAGGGAGAGCACGGAAGTGCGCTGAGCTTTCCCCAGCCGGAGGACAACTCTCCGCCCCCACTTCCTCCTCGGGCTGGGCGGCTCAGCCTCCCGGCCGGCTCCTCCTCCTCCTCCCACTGCCGGCTGGGGCTCCCAGGCCAGAGGTGCGGCGCTGTGCGCAGCAGTCCCCAGCCCGAGCGCGGAGCGGCCAAGCGGGAGGGAGGCCGGGCCGCCCGCGCGGTCTCGTACCCTCCTCGCGCGCCCAGCACCCCGCTTGCCCAGCGGCCGCTCGGAAGCTCAGCCCGCCCGCCCCATCCAGGCGCCGTGGCGGGCTAGCCGGGAAGCGAGCGGCTGACAAGTTGAGGCGCGCACAGGCGGCGGGCCGCGGGCACCGTGCGCCTCGGGAAGGGTGGCCGCCGCTCCGGGCTCCGCACCCCGGGCGCACTTGGGCGATGGCTTCCCCGCCGCCGCGGCTGCGTCTTCGCCCTCGCCGCTACCTCCTGCTGCTGCTTCTCCCCGGGCTCCTGCTACCTCTCTGTGATGCCTTCAACCTAGACGTAGACAGTCCTGCCGAGTACGCTGGCCCCGAGGGAAGTTACTTCGGCTTCGCAGTGGACTTTTTCGTGCCCAGCGCGTCTTCGTAAGTGACCGCACTTGGACCGCGAGCCGGCCCCCTCCCCCACCGCGCTCACCCACCCTGTGTTCTCTTCCACCTCCCTCCCGCCCCCATCCCCCTCCGCCGCACCCCGGGCTTGGTCTTGGGGAGATCCCAGTGTCTCTCTGTCCCACTCTGCCCACCCCCGCGATGAGTTATCTCCTGGCTGGATGAAATATGCGAGGAAGATGAACTCCTAGGTGGCCACCACCCACTCAGTTCCTGGCCGCTCCCCACCTCTTACACTTGGTTGGGGAGCGGAGGGAGAGCTCTGGAGCAAACCTGTGTTTCGGAATGGTGCCCGGTGGGAATCAACAAAGGCTGGTTCTGCTTGACTGCGCGCCGAGGCTCAGGGTCCGAGGCTCAGGGTCCGTTTCATCTCCCAGCGGTTCATCTAACTCCTCCAGGACCAGGGAGCTTTATTAGGCTTCCCAGGCACAACGCCCCGTCCTCCTCGCTGTCCCTAAACGAATCCTTCCCTATTTTTGCTTCCTCTCGTTTCGCACACTAAAATGAATCTGTTATTGAAGTGCATTCACATTATCTTATCGCCGGCAGACCCTGGAGCGTTTAAAGTTGAACAGATGAATGTGTCATCCGCTGTTTTTATAGGGATGCACTATTTAAGTTATTGTTCAGAAAGAACAGGCTTCTTTCTTACTTGTTTATTTTCCCGAGTTTTCAGTCAGTGCAGTTCGTTTGCATGTGCAAAATGTAAAAACTCAGGTAGGTCTTCCAGTGGCCCGCTCCTGGTGTTGCCAAGAGCAGCATGGTTTTCGAGTTATTGTCATTTTTGGATTGAAAGTTGCTTCTGACTTTGCTGAGCGCTGACATCATTCTCGCCGCCCCACCCCCACGCTCTCTTTAGAAATTCTGATTTAATGAGTACTCCCTGGATGTTTTATGATGTTTAAATCTTCCTTTCAAGAGAGAAGCTCTTCTCAGGGTTATGTCTAAATTCAGAACTTAGAAAAAATTTATTTCTTTGGAAGAGTTACACGAGGGAGAGAGGGGAAAAGGGGGAAGAGGGAGAGGAGACAGGAGGAGGATCAAAGAAGGAGGGAGAGAATCTTCATCACCAAGTCAACTCCCCCAAAGAGTGAGGATCTCAGGGCGGGACCAGAGGGAAGCCACTAGAGCCACCCTCCACTGCTACCCACGTGCATTAGTAGGGACCTGGATTAGGGGAGCAGCCAGGATTGGAACTAGTGTCCTTGTGGGAGGCTGGCTCTCCAGACCACAGGCTTACTTACCATGCTGCAATGCCAGCCCCAAACTACATGTTGCTTATAGATGATATTCTTTATTATTATTTTTTTGGAAGTGGGATTTTCATGGTCAGTACTTACTTGAGTAGGACCATCTTCCTAAAACATGTGTGATTAAGTTGACAGTGCACTAAATGTTTTTCTGTTTTATTCAGCAGGATTTACTCTCAGCATTTTTCAGGATGTTGCCACAGCCTTTACAACAGCATATACATTGTATGTGATTAGTGCACAAACCCGGCTTGTATGTGTTTTGGTTTGTGTTTGGTAGCAAGTTCAGTTTGTGGCTACCAACAAGTGCTTCCTGTTCTGGGAAATCTAAACATGGATTTTTCAAAGGGATAAAAATAATCATTCCTTGTAGGAGGCGTTTGCCACCTTCACATCTGAACTAATCATTTAAGCCGGCCTTATTAAAATTGTTTTTCTTCAATATTTTCTCATTTTGTTTCTTTATAGGACAGAACATTCATGTTAGTTTTATCCATGTGTTTCCTTTAAAAGGAACTTAAACAGGTATATTAATCATGCGTAAAGTATCTTTTGTTAAGTTAGCATGATTGTGCTGCCACGCTTTGAAGTTATCTGACAAGCTGATGGACTTTTAAGTGTTTTAACCATGGAAAATACAATCATATTGAACTGCGGTCCCTGATTCTAAGGTCTGATTGTAGCCCTTCAGTAGTGCTTGGGATCATTGAACACACCGGCCTGATGTGTTTTCATGGTGGCGTCCATGGCTTTCAGTGGTAGAATTGAATGTTTTGTTAGTAACTAGGGAATCCTGCGTATAACCCCAGGGGAAGCCAACAGAGATTGTTTCCAGCATGGCTATGTACAGTACATGGATGCATACATCCATACATGTACAAAATATTTGTCCAAGGCTTATACTTATGGAACTTTTGTGCTTAAACAAAAACTACCATAAAATTATTCTGAATTTTGTTAAGAGTACTTAAATTTAACAGACATTGAGTCCAAAGAATATTATTGACAATATTACCAGCTGGATTTATGGTGGTTCTTGCTGTCTGCTGTTATCATAATTTTCTTAAGAGGAAAAAAACCCAATGTAGTATAAAATTATTAATTAGAGTTATTTTCTTTTTTTCATGATTTATTATTTTTATTGGAAAGTCACATATACAGAGAGAGAGGAGGAGAGACAGAGAGGAAAATTTTCCCTCGAATGATTCACTCCCCAAGTGGCTGCAATGGCTGGAGCTGAGCCAATCCGAAGCCAGGAGCCAGGAGCTTCTTCCAAGTCTCCCACATGGGTGCAGGGTCCCAAGGCTTTGGGCTGTCCTCAACTGCTTTCTCAGGCCACAAGCAGGGAGCTGGATGGAAACAGGGCCTCTGGGATTAGAACCTGCGCTCATATGGGATCTCGGGGCATGCAAGGCGAGGACTTTAACCACTGCACAATCTTGCCAGGCCCAGAGTTCTTTTCTTTTGAGGAAGGGATTATAGAGGAAATAATGGTTATGAAATCTCTTCCTGCTGTGTCTTCCCCTTTAGGTGACCACATAATGTGGGCTGTAGAGTTGCTTTGAGTTCTCATTTGCTTTTCATTCTAGAAAATTATTGTGTTTATCTGTTTTTGTTGGTTGTGAAAATGAATAAATAAATGTTTTGTAGGCAGAAAGAAAGATGAAGTAATAAGGGAAAAATGTTAGGGTGTCCCCTCTCGATTTCTTCAGACCTGTCTTAGGTTTGAAGCGAAGTGCTTTAAGCCCTGAAAAATGAAAATAGCATTTCATATTTTTCTGCAAATATTAATTTATGGTGAGCATATTTGTAAAGGTGCATACAATGTAAAGAGTGTATGAAGGCCGAAAATTCAAGTCATGTTTTCTTGTGGAAATAAAATTGAGAAATGTGAAATTGTATGTCAGATTTAACCATAAAACAGTATCTTATATTAATAAAACTTTTAAAAGATTTTTTATTTGTTTGAAAGGCAGAATTAGAGGAGGACAGAGATCTTCTGTCTGCTAGTCCACTTCCCAAATGGCTGTGGCAGTCAGGTCTGGGCGAGGCTGAATTCAGGAGCCTGGAACACCTTCCCCATCTCCCACATGGTGGGGAGGTGCCCAGGTACTTGGTTCATCTACTCCTTTCCCAGGTACATCAGCAGGGAGCTGGATAGCAGAGGCTTTTATGGGATGCTGATGAGGGCTAATCTCTGTGTCACAACATCAACCTGTTTTTATAATTCATACTGTTCTTTTGCTTATATCTCAATTCATTCTGTAGCACAAACCACCGAACAACTAGGGGGAAGCAGTTAAGGAAATTGAGACTGGGTTAGAACTTGAGAGAGCAGGGGAAAGGACCTGAGGATACTTTGAAATTCATACCCTCCTCCTTTTTACACTCAAATACTGATATATTTATTTATTTGGAAGGGAGAGAAAGAAATCTATCTCTTGGTTCATTTTCTGGGCAGACCGGGAGATAAGAACCGGACCTGGGTTTCCTATATGTGTGTCAGGGACCCAGTTACTTGACCCATCTTTCCCTGCATTAGCAGGAAGCTGCAGTTGGGTGCCAGAGCTAGGATTTGAATCCAGGCATTCTGCTTTGGTATTTGGTGTCCCACACAACATCTTCTTCACTACAACAAATGTCTGTCCCCAAATGTTGACATTTTAAGAAGAAAACAATTGCTTGGACCACCTTCTTTGTTTAATCTTCAAATGCCAAATGTTGCAGGTTATAGTTCTCATTTTATTTGCTTATTTTAAAATAATACTATTATGAGGAACAGTGGGTTTACGTTCTTTTTTTTTTTTTCCTCCCTAAGATTAAGGTTTGTATTTGAGATGAAGGGTTAGGGAGGGAAGGAAGCAGTGAGGAAGGGAGAGAGGGAGAGGGAGAGAGGGAGGGAAATATCGATTCTCCTCTGCTGTTTATTTCCGAAAAGGCCTCAGCGTCTGCAGCCGGGCCAGCCAGGCGTCAGGAGCCAGCAGCTTATTGCAGGTCTCCCACTTGGGTGCACTGCTAACCCAGCTGCACTAGCTAGGAGCTGCACCCAAAGTGGAGCAGCAGGGAACCCAAACTGGGCTGTGCTACAGTTTGCCTTTTGTTAGTCATAAACGGAACCTTCTTTACAGCTCCTGTGTGTTTGTGTGACTCCCAAGGACACGTGGGGGGTCAATGTGCCTCCAAAATTGTCGGGAACTCTCAGCCCTCCTGTGGTAACACCTGTGAAGTTTCGCAGTCAAATTGCTTCCCTGGCTGCATCGTAGATTTACCAGCAGAGCTCTAGCTTAAATTCCTTTGACTTCTTAGCTCATTTTAATAAAAGAACGCTTACATCCGTTACTGTTAGATGTACCTTTGTTCCCATTAACACTACCAATGTTTCTTTCTTTTCTTTTTTTCTGTTGCTCTGGAAATAATTTCATATTCCTCCCTCTCATTTTCTATTTTTCTTTTCTCCTCCTGCTCTCCTCTAATATTAGTCAGAGATTAGTCACCAGGCAGAAAGTCCTAGAAACCCTTCCTTGTTTAGGTTTTTTTTTGTATCCACCTTCATTTCTCAGATCAACCACCTTATCAGCCACAGTCATCACAGCTGGCACCTGGACAACCACATCTTCCCCCCTGACTCCCCATTTCATCATTTTAGTTGAGACCTGAAAATATCTGTTTTTTTTTTCTTTTTTTGAAATATCCTTTTTGGTACTGTGCTTTCTGCTGCTAGAATCC